CAAAGAATGACTGGAACACTGAACGCTTATTGCTAACTATGACATGTACTGGCACTACATTGAATATTGACTGTAATTTTCGAGGAAAAAACGGAAAGACGCGTCCAATTTTTTCTTTTTCTCCTACTTATTCAGGCATCATACTGAGGGATCTTATTCCTAGTGAGCAGTTCGAGCGCTTAGAAAAACTTTATCATGCAGCAACCGATGGCTCATTAGAAGAGGCTTCCCACCAAAATGCCGCGTCATCTGCCAACAGTCTGTTCTCGACAAATCCTTTTGCTCCTTTATGCGTAAGCGAGGACGAGGACGAGGACGAGGACGAGGACGAGGACGAGGACGAGGACGAGGACGAGGACGAGGACGAGGGGGACGAATTGCCTGATGCCAAATCAAAAGTTGGAGAAGAGGAGGAGGAAGAAATTGAAGTGGAGATATCAGATGAAGAAGATACTTTGCCAAACCCTGCATATGCCAAAAAGATTAGGATCAGGAGGTAATTTATTTTTTTGCCATGATTATTCTGTGGGATTTTTCTTGTCTTGTTGGGCTCTCATGAACCTTTCAAAGGAGTGAGTGCAGAAAGGTGGGGCTGGGAACAAGGAAAAGTAGAGACTAATGCCCTAAATGTCTACTTGCTCCACAGAGAAAGAATAACAGACAAGGGAGACACATGGAATCTTCCAGAAGCAGGTGCATTTATTACCTTTTTCCCGGGAATCATGAAAGAACCATTGTGGATCTGTTGTTCCAAATGGAGTCCTAGGTTCCTCTCTCCTCCAATAGACAGTAATGAGCTCTTAGTGAGCAATGTGATTGAACTATCTCATCATGGCCCACCAACTCTAAAGTCTATGGAAGATGCTACAGAAAGCATAACAGTGGGTTTGTTCCACAGTGCCTCTGATTTCAAGGGATACGAAGTGGTTATTAAGAAACTGGTTGATCCAGAAAAGAACGAGTGGTATGATTTGGAAACTAGAATTGTTTGGGACACAGCAGGTATTGAAATAATATGAAATCATGTTTACTCTAGGATGAATTACTTTAAGGAAGTTTCCCAGCACTTTTTATGTTCTCTGGACTGGACATTTTGGTGACCTTCACAGAATCCTATCCAGATCTTAAGCATTTTCCTCAATAATCTGATCTATTTATTAAGCTCTTGAAAGTTCAGTCGGGGAGTGCTGATCTTTAAGCACTTTAAAAGATTCTACAAAACTTACAAAATAACTAAAAAATTTATCTGTTGAAAGTTTTAAGAGTGATAAAGCACTTCAGATAACCTTACCCTTAATATTTCCTGGTCTCTCTTTCGCACAGGGATAGAGTTCCAATTGTTTGTTTTAGAATTCCCTGGGTAACTACAGGTAACTTAAAGGGGATTCCAGTAGAAATGGTTAGGTCTACTACCTGTACTAATGCTCTATCAAAAATCTCCACGTTGCAGAGATGCAGCCAGCCATTTCCAAGTGGACGTGCCCTTACGCTGAAGCTACTTCTACAATAACCCGTTTTTCTTCTTTCGCCGTGGTTTGGCGCCTTAAGTCTTTTAGGTTTCCAAAGCCAAACTCCATCACCCCTGAGTTCATCTGTTCAGTGCCAGACTATCCAAATGTCAGTATTGTAATCCCTTGGAACTCTGTTCCTTACAGTCCAGACTTCTGCATGACTCTGAAGGTAAGTAAACCATTTTTTACCACAGTTGGAAATACTATCGCCATCTGATTGGTCAATTAGAGTAGAGACATCGGAGCTCGCGTCAACGTGTCACGATTTTGGTTACGCACTGTTATCGTTTTGAGATACAATGAATATATGAAGTTCATATATTTTGAACTGCGATATTAGATACCTATGATGCACGATCCTCGCAGTAGATAGCGCTATTTATGCAATAGCGAAAATCAGACCTGAAAAAAATCAGGCCTGTACAGGACTCGAACCACTGACCTCTGCGATACTAGTGCAGCGCTCTACCAATTGAGCTAACAAGCCAACTGGGAGCAGGCCGTTAAGTTGATTCGTAATAAACCCGTGAAAGTGATAAATGAGATACAATGAANGAAAGTTACTCTTGCAAAAATTCGTAGAGCAACCAGCAATCCATGTGCTTAGTTTTATTTTCCGCGGACAGATTACCCCTTTTTAATTCTGGTTGCAAGAATCTCCGTTAGATTGCTTTGTAGACAACCAGAGAATTTCCTTTGTTGGTTTTTTTTCGCCAGGTTTTTCGGGGATGGAGTAGCCCAAGAAAATGTGTACGTTACTATTAGAGATAAAAGTAACATGTCAGTAGACTTCTTGAAATGCCTGAACGCTGAAGAAAGGAGAGACCCTTAATCAATATGCAACATTCGTATGAATCCAACACGTTCACCGCAGGTATTTTCTGACTGCTCCTCAACTCATTAATAATTCTGAATTTGTAATTAAAAAGGCACAACACTGACTATAAACTATCCTGGATCCGTCAGCAAATTCGTCACCTTATGTAATTAGTGACCAAGAAATTTATAAAAGCTATTTTTGAGTTGGGTTGTTTTCCTCACATCAGTCCCTAAAGTGCAGCGTCGTTAGCGTCACAAGCTCGCCATCCTTTGTTATATCGGCCATGTTTGATTTTGAGTTAGAGTGGACGGTGGGGAGGGGAGAGGGGGGAGAAGAGAATTTCCCCTTCTGTAACTGCAGTAATCGTATAAACCTCACAACACCACGAAGATAAAAACGATTTATTCGGTAGGAATGATGTTAACGGTATGTGGTTTGAAACTTTAAAACAATAAATGAATACGAATTTACAACAATTGACTAGTAAAAGTGACAGGAAAGAAATACGCTGAACCACTGAAAAAAACTTGAAATGACAACACTTACATTGTTACGATTTCTACGAAACTGCAGGACGAATATAAACTGCCCAAAAGCGAAATAAAGATAAACTGGAGTAACTGCACAAAGTGAACTACTGTATGACTAACAGAAGACTAAAATCCCTGAACTGAGAAAAACTAAGTTATATATGCGAAAACGACAAGCTAAGTTGAAGTGCAATTAACGCCGATATTACGAAAGAAACTAATAAACGAAAATACGTGACATAGAAACAAAAGAAGCTAACTAACTAGCGAGAAAATACTAACGAACGACGAGAAAAAGCGACAACACAAAGGGACACCGTAATGATAGATTGAATGAGAAAAACAAAACAAAAACAAAAGAAATCATTCCGCGCGCTAAGACCCTACACCTACTCCTCTTGATTTTTATTTTTATTTCTTTTTTGGATATATCAACAAAGTTGGAATGGTAAATTGGCCACCGTAACGATTACAAAAGCTGACGTTTCGAGCGTTAGCCCTTCGTCGGAGCGAATAGAGGAATTGTGGGTTGTGTGTGCTTTTAAAGGCAGAAAATGGAGCTACGTTATTGGTGTGAACATGGCAACGAGAAAAACA